TTATTTATTGGGAGGGTTTTCCTTGTGCAGACAGCTGTTTGAGTGTTCTAGTTGTCTTTGGTTGAGTGGCTTTGTCTTTGGATGAGTGGCTTTGTCTTTGGTTTGGTTGGTGATGGCTTTCTTGACTTTGATGTCTTGGTTGAGTGACTTGTCTTTTGGGTCTTGGTTGATGGCTTTGTCTTTGATGAGTGGCTTTGTCTTTGTGAGTGGCTTTGTCTTTTTGGTTGAGTGGCTTTGTCTTTGTTGAGTGGTGTCTTTGGATGATGAGTGGCTTTGTCTTTGGTTGAGTGGCTTTGGTTGAGTGGCTTTGTCTTTGGATGAGTGGCTTTGTCTTTGGTTGGCTTTGGTCTTTGGAGTGGGCTTTGTCTGTGGCTTTGTCTTTGGTGTCTGGTGGCTTTGTCTTTGGATGAGTGGCTTTGTCTTTGGTTGAGTGGCTTTGAGTGGCTTGTCTTTGGTTGAGTGTCTTTGGTTGAGTGGCTTTGTCTTTGGATGAGTGGCTTTGTCTCTTGGTTGTGGCTTTGTCTTTGGATGAGTGGTTTGTCTTTGGATGAGTGGCTTTGTCTTTGTTGATGAGGCTTTGTCTTTGGTTGAGTGCTTTGTCTTTGTTGAGTGGTTTGGCTTTGTCTTTGGTTGAGTGGCTTTGTCTTTGTTGAGTGGCTTTGTCTTTGGATGAGTGGCTTTGTCTTTGGTTGAGTGTCTTTGGATGAGTGCTTTTGTCTTGGTGAGGTCTTTGGATGAGTGGCTTGTCTTTGTTGAGTGGTCTTTGGATGAGTGGCTTTGTCTTTGTTGAGTTTCTTTGGTTGAGTGGCTTTTGTCTTTTTGTCTTTGGGTCTTGATGTGCTTTGTCTTTGTTGAGTGTTGTCTTTGTTGAGTGGCTTTGCTTTGGAGTGTCTTTGGTTGAGTGGGTGAGTGTCTTTGTCTTTGGTTGAGTGTCTTTTGATGGCTTGTCTTTGGTTGAGTGGCTTTGTCTTTGGATGAGTGGCTTTGTCTTTGGTTGAGTGTCTTTGGATGAGTGGCTTTGTCTTTGGTTGAGTGTCTTTGGATGAGTGCTTTGTCTTTGGTGAGTGGCTTTGTCTTTGGTTGAGTGTCTTTGTTCGTCTTTGGTTAGGTGTTTCTAGTTTCTGGTCTGGATGTCGACCTGAAAGTGACATCCATATTTACTCGGGCGAGTCTGAAGAAAGCCGCACGCTTGTGGGTTCCTGTAGAAGTTAATGGATATTCGCCGCATGGCCGTTCCATGCAATTCTTCAATTCTCCCTTCTGCCTTGTCTTCAGTCCCTGTCTGTATTCCCACCTCCATCTCTCTCCTTTCTTGCTCTTCCCTTCTCTCCTCTTCGGTCTTCATTGTCACCTCCATCTTTTTCTATTCAACCCTCCCTACTCTCCTCTTTTCTCCGTTCTATGACCTTCTTCCTGTGTCTCCCACTCCCATACTCTTTTCTCTATTTTTCCATTCCCCCATTTCCTCTCTTTCCCTCCTTGCATTTCCCAATATCCTCTCTTTTTCCCATTTCTTTCCGTTCCCCACCCCTTCTCCACTATTGCTATTATGTAGGGGGTATGAGTGTGGAACATGTATACGTTTCCCGCCACCCTATCAATCCCTCCCTCCCCCTCTCCCCTGCCTAAGTATCATTTGACTGATGACCGTGAGTTGCTTTTTTAGGGTTTCCGTTTGCATTATATTGTTATTTATTTGACAAGCCTATATGTTCCAGTAATTAATACGTCTTATACATGCTATTTTCTTAGTTTAACTATAGTTACTCTAGATAAGGGAAAAATTGTAAAACGGTTATGATGTATATATATATGTGTGTGTGTGTTTATTCAGTGTCATATTGCCAAACCTTAGAGCCTATCATGGTCATTGGCAGCAATTTGATCGTCCGAAGACGTGCATGATAGCAAAAGAAAAGAAAAAATCATGATAAAGTCAGCAAGCAAGGATTCGGACGCGCAGAGCCCTCCTTGCCTACGGCCACGGAAAATATTTATGGCATTCTCTCAAATTTTTTCTTGTTTCTTGCAAATTTCGGGTTGGCTGTCGAGGAGCGTGCAAGCAGTGGGTCATTACCGTTTCGTTTGCACATTTTCATCGCCTCTTTCCCGCTTGTTAAACTCTGCTGCACGCGAAAATTCTCGGAAGGAAAGCTTGGAGAGTCCAGAGCGCAACATTTTTTAGAGGGTTTGTGCTATATTTCATTTAATCCGCTTGGATATGTCGCACTTTCACTCACACTCATCTAGGGAGAAGTGGTTCGTTAATATACACAAATAGATGCGTAGATATAACCATATAAATATGTCCGTATGTTTATTTATCCGTCCATCTATCTATCTGTCTATCTCCATCAGCTTATCGTTCGAACGTTCTGACGATCTATCTCTGTCGAGCTATCTTTATCGGGTTAAACTATCTGTCCATCTGTCTGTCTGTCTATCTATATCAGTCTCTATCCATCTATCTATAGATATAATAATTATAGATATGTAAACGTATAGCTGTATAGATATATATTGATATACAGTCCATATACTCATGGATATATGAATATATGGATGTATATAGATATATTGGTAGGCTATATATATATATATATATATATATAGATAGATAGATAGATAGATAGATATGATAGATAGATAGATAGATAGATAGATAGATAGATAGATAGATAGATAGATAGATAGATAGATAGATAGATAGATAGATAGATAGATAGATAGATATAGATAGATAGATAGATAGATAGATAGATAGATAGATAGATAGATAGATAGATAGATAGATAGATAGATAGATAGATAGATATTTACATATATAGATGAATAGATAAAAGTGTATATAATATGCATTTCTACATGCGCGCGTGCGTGCGTGTGTGTATGTGTATATGCGTGCCTGCATATGTTCGTGTGCGCGCGAGCGCTCACACGAACTCCTCTCCTTTTCGCTCCCTTGCCCCCCTCTCTTTCCTCCCTTTTGCCCCCTCTCTTTCGCTCCCTTGCCCTCTCTCTTTTCGCCCCCTTGCCCCCTCTTTCGCTCCTTGCCCTCTCTTTTCGCTCCCTTGCCCTCTCTTTTCGCTCCCTTGCCCCCTCTCTTTCGCTCCTTGCCCCCTCTTTTCGCTCCCTTGCCCCTCTCTTTCCCCTTCTCTTTTCGCGCTTTTCGCCCCTTGCCCCCTCTCTTTTCGCTCCCCCCCCTCTCTCTTTTCCTCTCTCTTGCCCCCTCTCTTTTCGCTCCCTTGCCCCCTCTCTTTGCTCCCTCTCTTTTCGCTCTTTTTCGCTCCCTTGCCCCCTCTCTTTTCGCTCCCTTGCCCCCTCTCTTTTCGCTCCCTTGCCCCTCTCTTTTCGCTCCCTTTGCCCCCTCTCTTTCGCTCCCTTGCCCTCTCCTTTTCGCACCCTCTCTTTTCCTCCCTTGCCCCTCTCTTTTCGCTCCCTTGCCCTCTCTTTTCGCTCCCTTGTTCCTCTCTTTCGCTCCCTTGCCCCCTCTCTTTCCTCTCTTGCCCTCTCTTTTCGCTCTCTTGCCCCTCTCTTTTTCGCTCCCCCGCCCTCTCTCTTTTCGCTCTCTTGTCCCCTCTCTTTTCGCTCCTTGCCCCCTCTCTTTTTCGCTCCCTGCCCCCTCTCTTTTCGCTCTCTTGCCTCCCTTCTTCGCTCTCTTGCCCCCTCTCTTTTCGCTCTTGCCCCTCTCTTTTCTCTTGCCTCCTCTCTTTCGCTCCCTTGCCTCTCTTTCTCCCCTCTCTTTTCGCTCCCTTGCCCCCTCTCTTTTCGCTCCTTGCCCCCTCTCTTTCGCTCCTTGCCCCCTCTCTTTCGCTCCCTTGCCCCCTCTCTTTTCGCTCCCTTGCCCCCTCTCTTTTCGCTCCCTTGTTCCCTCTCTTTTCGCTCCCTTGTTCCCTCTCTTTTCGCTCCCTTGTTCCCTCTCTTTCGCTCTCCTGCCCCTTCTTTTCGCTCCCTTCCTCCTTTTCGCTCCCTTCCCCCTCTCTTTTCGCTCCCTTGCCCCCTCTCTTTTCGCTCCCTTGCCCCCTCTCTTTTCGCTCCTTGCCCCCTCTCTTTCGCTCCCTTGCCCCTCTCTTTCCTCCCGTTCGCTCCCTCTCTTTTCGCTCCCTTGCCCCCTCTTTTCGCTCCTTGCCCTCTCTTTTCGCTCCCTTGCCCCTCTCTTGCCCGCCCTCTCTCTTTTCCCTTCTTCCCCCTCTCTTTTCGCTCCCTTCCCCCTCCTCTTTTCGCTCCCTCTCCGCCCCCTCTTTTCGCTCCCTTGCCCCTCCCTTTTTCGATTCGCTCCTTGCCCCTCTCTTTTCGCTCCTTGCCCCCTCTCTTTCGCTCCCTTTCCCCTCTCTTTTCGCTCCCTTTCCCCCTCTCTTTTCGCTCCCTTTCCCCCCTCTTTTCGCTCCCTTGCCCCCTCTCTTTTCGCTCTCCTTCGCCCCCTCTCTTTTCGCTCCTTGTTCCCTCTCTTTTCGCTCCCTTGCCCCCTCTCTTTTCGCCCTTGACCCTTGCCCCCTCTCTTTCGCTCCCTTGCCCCCTCTCTGTTCGCTCTCCCCCTCTGTCCCCTCCCTTCTCTCTTTTCGCTCCCTTGCCCCCTCTCTTCCTTGCCCCCTCTCTTTTCGCCCCTTGCCCCTCTCTTTTCGCTCCCTTGCCCCCTCTCTTTTCGCCCCTTGCCCCCTCTCTTTTCGCTCCCTTGCCCCCTCTCTTGCTCTCTTGTCTCTTTTCGCTCCCTTCTTTTCGCCCCCTCTCTTTCGCTCCCTTGCCCCTCTCTTTTCGCTCCCCCGCCCTCTCTCTTTTCGCTCCTTGCCCCTCTCTTTTCGCTCCCTTGCCCCCTCTCTTTTCGCTCCCTTGCCCCCTCTCTTTTCGCTCCCTCTCTTTTTCGCTCTCCCTCTCTTCGCGCCCCTCTCTTTTTCGCCCTTGCCCCCTCTCTTTTCGCTCCCTTGTTCCTCTCTTTTCGCTCCCTTGCCCCCTCTCTTTTCGCTCCCTTTCCCCTCTCTTTCGCTCCCTTGCCCCCTCTTTCCTCTCTTCTTTTGCTCCCTTGCCCCCTCTCTTTTCGCCCTTGGCCCCCTCTTTTCCTCCCTTTCGCGTCTCTCTTTTCGCTCTCTTTTTTCTCTCTTTCGCTCCCTTGCCCCTCTCTTTCGCTCTCCCCTCTCTTTTCGCTCCCTTCTCGCTCCCTTGCCCCCTCTCTTTTTCGCTCCCGCCCCTCTCCGCGCTCTCTCTTTTTCGCTCTTCTCCTTTTCGCCCCTCCCCCTCTCTTTTCGCTCCCTTTGCCTCTCTTTTCGCTCCCTTGCCCCTCTCTTTCGCTCCCTTGCCCCCTCTTTTCGCTCCCTTGCCCTCTCTTTTCGCTCTCTTGCCCCCTCTCTTTTCGCTCCCTCCCCTCTCTTTTCGCTCCCTCTCTTTTCGCCCCCTCTCTCTTTCGCTCCCTTGCCCCCTCTCTTTCGCTCTTTTTCGCTCTCTTTTGCCCCCTCTCTTTCGCTCCCCCCCCTCTCTCTTTTCGCTCCTTGCCCCTCTCTTTTCGCTCCCTTGCCCCTCTCCCTCTTTTCCCTCTCTTTTCGCTCCCTTCCCTCTTTTCGCTCCCTTGCCCCCTCTCTTTTCGCTTGCCCCCTCTCTTTTCGCTCCTTGCCCTCTCTTTTCGCTCCCTTGCCCCTCTCTTTTCGCTCCTTGCCCCCTCTCTTTTCGCTCTCTTGTCCCTCTCTTTTCGCTCCCTTGCCCCCTCTCTTTTCCTTCCCGCCCTCTCTTTTTCCCTCTCTTTGTCCCCTCTCTTTTCGCTCCCTTGCCCCCTCTTCGCTCCCTTGCCCCCTCTTTTCGCCTCTCTCTTCGCTTGCCCCCTCTCTTTTCGCTCTTGCCCCCTCTCTTTTCGCTCCTTGCCCTCTCTTTTCGCTCCTTGCCCCTCTCTTTTTCCTCCCTTGCCCCTCTCTGTTCGCCTCTCTTTCGCTTCCCTTGCCCCTTCCTTTTTCGCTCCCTTCCCCTCTCTTTTCGCTCCCTTGCCCCCTCTCTTTTCGCTTCCCCTCTCTTTTCGCTCCCTTCCCCCTCTCTTTTCTCTTTTCCCTCTCCCTCTCTCTTTTTCGCTCCCTTGTCCCTCTTTTCGCTCCCTTTCCCTCTCTTTTCGCTCTTGCCCCCTCTCTTTTCGTTCCTTTTTTCCCCTCTCTTTTCGCTCCT